GAGAGGCCGATGTATGTACATCAGTGGACTATTAAAGGTTATTGATGACGATGATGATCCTACAAAGATATGTTTACTCATATGTATATATCTTAAATATGTTATACTATTATAAATAGTAAGAGAAGAAACAATAGTAAAATAAACCACTAAGCCATTAGTCATATTACGGTAGACACAATTTATTAGGTACTAGCGCATTTTCATTACAAGATTAATCTTATCGTTTCGTTTGTTTACTATTTTTGGTTGTGCGCGTCCTCCATCTATTTGGCTTAAAATAAACTGCTTAAACCTACAAATCATTAATCTGGCCGAAATAGCATTTATATTTTATTAATATTAATTGTTTTCTTGTGACTTCATTAGCGAGATTTTAATTGGAAGTAGACCTTTTTCCAATTATCTTATAGAAATCACAAAAGATAGCAATGAGATCACCAGCGCCGATAATCGATCTAAGTAGCGTGTAATGGGAGAGGCGGACTGCTATAGGCTGATGAAGAGCATCTATTACCTTGCAATAATAACTTGACTTTATTTTCTAACGTAATTTTTTTTATACCACTTATTATCTTGCCTGTGTTGTTCACCTTACCTGTTTCGACAGACTGTGCTATCTATCATTGTAGTACAGTACAGTACAGTCTAATCTTGGTTCTTGGTATAGCACTTCTTTATGGTGTTCTATAATGGCTTGAGAACTATCGAGTCGAGAGAGTATCGGAGTCTATACGAGTATTTGTTGCGTAGAATGAGAGAAAACTTGACTATGAAGTTTTTTTACTACAATGACAAATGCACATAAATTGACAAAAGAAAGACGTAGGTACTTAAGATTTCAGAATTATTACTCCCTTGATTATGCAAAATAACTTGTCTTGAAAAATATACTTCTTCCCTACCTCTGACACAAACAACCAGACAAATTTAATTTTAATTCAATACTGAGCAGCTTGACTTGTGCTGCTGTTGAAATAGAGGCTTCTACTTCACTCTACGCCTTTAAGTGGGCAAAAGATATGCAAAAAAAGGAAATCGCTATATTTAGAATTCATTTGATAATTGTTGCATTTTCTTGTTTATTGTTGTTAACATTCAGTTTCCCTTATATATACACGTCAATATTAATGATACTTAGTATAAGAACTAACAATCAACAACATAATTTATTATTTATAACTTATTTGTTAGGGTGGATCCCGAGATAAACCAATTGTGTGAAGATTGAATAAAAGAGGAAAGCGTTTTAAATTTTATAAATCGTTCCCTTGAAATATAAATAGGGTTAACTAAAATACTGCTCATTTAAGAAGAGCATTTCACATTGCAGTTATACTAATTTAAAGTCTCTTGATAACAATCGCTTGATTATTCATTTCTTAGATATATGTAGGTACGAGTATCTGTATAAAAACCATTTCAGTGAATTTTTTGACATTTGCATCTTGTGTTAAATATGTATTAAAAGTATTTTTATAGAATCTAGACCTTACAAACTTGCCCATGTTTCCATTTTAAATCGCAAGTAAATCGTGGTGACATAAATAAATCATAGTTTAATGTTATAATATTTTAACAGCCGCCGACAACTTTAAATGCTATCTCGTGCATGAGGTTGTTATTATTACAGTAAGTTATTTTAATAAAGTTGGTATTTATTAATACGAAACAAACATTTCTTACAAATGATGAATAAATTAGGAATTTTTTGACGAGTATAAAATAGGATTTAACTCGTAAAAATGTACGTAATAAATCATTGCCATTCTTTCATTTGCATATAACCCACGTAGAATCAAGCAATTCCATTGTAAAGGATAATTTTATAGTATAACTACCAATATTTTACGGTTGAAAGTAACTATTACCAGATGCTCGTTTAACTAATCCTTAATACTCTTTAACAACTATTGCTTAAAGAGCCCTTGACATTACTATTGACCTTAAGAACAGTTTCTACAGCTCGTGAAACTTTAAACTGTACCCAGATATTGTGTCTTTTTGCCCCTTATACTACCTAGCTAAATTCAATTTCACACTATAGTCACTATCATAAAAAAAATATAAGTAAAACATTAAAAGATAAATAATTTTATTTAATACCCAAACTACGTATAAAATACAAATCTCTAAATGCGGTTAAAAGGGGATCGACTATCGCAGCAAATGTCGATTAATTGCATTTTTTGACTTTTTTGTTTGTTTAATAGTTTTTGTTTAATAAATTATGGTAAATAGCACAAATATTGCATACAAGTCTTGTCAGTTTATTAATAGAAATTAAGTAAAATTAAGGAAGACATATTTAATTTTCGATTATTAGTCATGTACCAACAGATGCTTTAACATTAATTAACTTGACAAAAGATATCTTTTAAATGCTTGGAATTATTAGTTGCAATGATATTTAGATTATTAAAATATTATAAAATTAGATGTGGTATTTTTCGAATAATAAGGTATTGCAGAGCTAAAACTTATTTTTACTTCGGAACAAATTTTATTTTTGCATAAAATAATCCTTCTGTGACAAGTTGAACTGTCATCACATCTAATAATGTTCACACAGTTTTCACTATTTTTCTTTATAATGGATTGGTGCATGCCTAAAACATAAAATAAGAGAACATCTCAGAATCAGCTTTATAGAATAAAACCATTTCAAACCGTCTAAGCTGCTACAGAGATGAATTATACATGAATAAAAGTCGTAGCTTCGTAAAATTTGGCATAATACTTTGGGCATACTGAAAGTTTCTTGATTCTGATAAATAAGCCTTACGATACATTTATTGGTTTTAAAAGTATATTACACGGTACAAAGCAGTTGGACCAGTCTACCTTAGGGACCACTTTATTGGATTCATGGAACGCTTTCACCGCCGATTCAGGGCTCGTAAAACGTGTGCCTCTAAGTTTGTCTTCAATTTTTGGCAACAAAAAGAAGTCGCCAGGTGCGAGGTCCAGGCTGAAAGGTGGATGCGTCATCAGTTCCACATTTGAAGCCTTCAAATAGGCTTCTGTTACCTTAGTGTAATGTGAGGATGCGTTATCGTGGTGAAGAAGGACATTGCTTCGAGGAGGAGTTTTTCTAAGACTCTGGGCAGGCAAGTGTTAACGTACCAATCTGCAGTCACTGTTCTTTGATCATCAAGCGATACTGTAGTGTAATGTAATGATTTTCCGAAAAAAGAAGCGACCACTTCTTATCAATGCTTTGACTTTTCTTAACTTTTGTTGGCAAATCTTTAAAAAGAAACAAAAAGCAAAGCTTCTGAACCTTAAGATGCACATGTTAAATGTTTTGCACTTGGTTCATTCCAAAACCCAACAAGGCACGAATTTTCTTGTCAGTTTCAATAAGTTGTCGTACGGTGTCAATATTAGAGTCTGTAACCGCAGTCGACGGCCCATCTTCACGTACATCGTCATGGATATGATCACGTCCACTTCTCCAAACCACGAATACACAGAGCAAATAAAAATTAAAGTCTCTGGCAACTCTTGTGTTGACTTGAACCAAAACAAAAATTATGAAAAGTCATTAAAGGAAAATGTTCACGAGTTCAATTCATTGTGTTTTTGTCATAATTGTCTTTTCATTTTGTTATTGTAAGTGTCCAGATCTAGAAACTTTCAGTATACCCCACGTAAAAAAGAATAGATTTAAAAAATACAGAACAACGAACAAATTTTTAACCTTGGGGTTAACAAACCACAAGGCAAAAAAACTACTGAAAAAAATACTTTTACGAATTGTTATTCGTAAAAGTAATTTTTCCATTGTGTTTTTAAGTTAATTACCGCCATGTGTTGCATTAATTACCTACGTAATAAGTTGTGTAAAAGGTCCCTCATGCCAGTCTTTGTATCATGCGCATTTTTTGTTTAAAACATCATTCTGCGTAAGTTGTATAAATATGTTAATCGACTCATGACAATAATAAAAAAACAGAATATTTAATTAAAATTACCCTATAAGAAACATATAAGTTTACACAGAGCTAAATGACAATGCCAGACGGTATTTTAATCTACAACCGCATACATCATATTGGGTATCCCTTTCTAAATATTTCTCTATAAGTATTAATAAAAGCGATTCAAAAATAAAAGCTTTTTAAACAACACCAAAAGTCAATATTGCGGATAGTAATTGAATATACTAAGCTATATTGTTGAATAAATGCTTTTCTTTTAATCCTGATGCACAATAAGTAATGTTGAGCGTCTATGTCAGCTTTAAATCAGCTCAAAAAAGACTTAAGAATTCAATATAATACTAATGAAACATCGCAGTTTTTGTTAATTAATAAAGCCCGACTAGACCAATCAGCTACGAAAACTTATCAACTACTTAATAAAGCATTCGAAATATTAATATCATTTTAGATGTGCGTAACCCACTTTGGCTCGTTTAGCATGTCCTGCACAGCATGAAGACTTTCACACGCCGCTACCTAGCCTACCAAGTACTTATTAGGCTTGGCACCGACTTCATACAAGCTAGAAGGTATCTATTGATGTTATAATGTTACCTGTTATATTGAGGGTCACATTTATTTTGATTTTTTCAATTAGATTTGTGATATTTTTTAAATGTTTAGTGCTCTTTGTTGGTATTGCTTGAAGTCAGTTCAACTTTTTTATTTTTTATATTTACCATTTTTAGTGTAACATACTATTGTAATAATTAGATATGATAATTCAAACACTACTTATTGTAATGTTTATATTGTGAAACTATAGTATTTTAGATTACAAAAAAATAAGTTTAAAAATTCCTTAGATAAAGTAGTAAAATGTTAACTTTAAACCCAAATAAATATTGTTTTCTACATTAGTTAATTTTCTACCATTAGATGTGACACTTTTTCTTTACATTTGAATGGAACCAGAGGGGAAATATACACTTCCAATTAAAAAAGAATGCAGTATTAAACAATACTAACCTGAAAGTTTTTTTATGAAATAACTAAAGATATTTTAGAAAATACTTACATGTAGCATGGTGCAGAGATGTCATGCGGAGGGTAGACCAGTATCGGTGGTGACGGCACAGGGGATGGGCTATTCTTGCGTCGACGCGCCATGAATACACCCGCCATTATGATTAGCAACAAAAGAGCTGCGCTCGCGCCACCTGATGCTACTAGCACTGCCTCTGCGGACAACATGTAGATGTGAATAGTGAAATCAAATTAATTTGTATTCGAAAGTTAAAAGTGCATGACGTGGGTAGTAACTTGATTCTATAGGAGACCACGATAAACTGTTCTTATGTATATAGTGTGATTCTATAAAATACTTTGAAATATACAAAAGCATCTTAAACTCTTTTACTTATGCAATCTTTTAATTATTACAAAGCGTTAACAAGAATATTGGTTACGTGAGATTGACGATGTTGAATATGTTATTCAAAAAAGTTCATTCATATGAAGCTTTTACAAACAGCGATAATAAGAGAAATCAGGTGTTTTTGTTTAGCATGAAGCATACGCTTTGGTATAAGCAAACTGTTAGACTGAAATTAATATATTCATGGTGGAAAAGTGAATACCTTTGCTTGAATGATCAAAATTCAAGCAAAGGTAGTGTAATGGCCGAGTTCTCGAATTGCGATTCAAGGAGTGTAAATGCAATTTACACCGCCGTAGTACCAGAACCCACTCTTATGATTTCCTTTTTTTAGCCAGAGGTGTCAGTAATAGTTGATTCACGTTACAATGTCATGCTACATTTATAATTTTTAAAACCGACATTGTGATTTATATTGTATTTTGCATGCAAAAAAATTACCTAATCTTCGAAATCATAAATGCAAAGCACACTCAGGTGTGGGAGCACAAAAGGTCACAGGTCAAACTGGGGCAGTTGTGATTTATTAATGAAACCTTGAATTATAAAGTATATTATATTATACATATACATATTCCCATTTCCTCACAGTGTTTTAACTTATATTATATTATATATTTTAAAAGAGATACTAATTTTGAGAGACTCATTTCATTTTTATAGAAACACTTGCAGCGCTCATGCAGTTTCGGTCTCGTTAAATTTAAATGGTTACTGCTTAGCCCGGACTCACTGTGGCCTATAACGTTACCTCATCTCAATTCTACATACTAACTAACTGTGCAATTTTTTTAAATATTTAATTTCAAAATGTGTCATTATTATAAACGAAATGGGTGTTATGTTGAATGCTGTCATATAATTCTGTTCATAAATTTTATGCAGTAAAAAAGTACTAGAAATATATGTTAGAACATTTTTTCTGACAAAAAAGTGAATGTAAGATGTCATGTGTCAGCTTTGTAATTTTGCCATGTGACTAACGTACCAAAGCTCAGCTTAAGCTTATGTCATAGGGATCTAAGTTAATGTACCTCATTTAACTTGAACACACACACAGTTACATTTACTTTTTCTACATAGTGCGCTTAATTTTGATTAATGTGAAACATCTAATGCTGCATCTGCGGCTGTTGACGTGGCCACGCGTCACTACGGCTTGCGTTGCCACGTTATGTTTGATATTGATTTATATTTTCCTAGCTATCATCATTATCATTATTTCTACAAAATAATTTAGATTTTTATATATATCTAGTATACTAAGTTTTTTTGTGTTATAGTTTGATTGGTTGCATAAACACATATTTGTTGTACAGTCGACTATAAATTGCATTAATTTAAAAGTAGTAAATGATATCCATTCAGTTACGTGACATAAATGATACAAGTTAAAAGTTTAAATGTAGAATTACGTCATATCCATCATTGTTACGACCGGTGGGTATTTCGTGAAATTTTACTTTTACAAATATGTCTCGGGAGTCTGAATGGAACTTATACTTATACTAACAAAACCGCAATAAGTGGAACTAAGAATTTCTCACCATGAAGTTTTAGTTCCTAGTTTTAAGTAAGTTCCTAGTTTAGGGTCGCGATCGCGCGACGCGGTCGCTGAGATGCTACCTTAAAAATATTTTTTCTCGAAATTTTCAATGTGAAGCCTATAAATGTTAACTAAAAATATATATTTTACAAAAAGTAAAATAACTTGATACGTACCAAATTTACAATATAGTGAAATGTTTTTCATATTTTAGGTTTTACAGAAAATATTTACATTTTAAGTACAAATTTTAGTTGTAAACATATAAACGATGTGATAACCGAAAATGTGTAACAGAATATATAAAATAGGGCTATGAATATTCCTACGAGCCTCATTAAAATTATTATGACGTCGTATACTGTCGTGTAAACTATGACAAACAGTAAAATATAGGACGTACTTTATTACGTTGTAAATGCTCCAGGTCGTCGTGGGCGTAGATGATATTCTAGGTGTTTTCCTTATTCAATTGGTTTTTCTTTTATCTTATATTATCTTATTATTATTCGTACTTCTTTAATTAACAGACTAAAGATTTCGTTTACGATGTATAACTTTTAGACCTCCTAAAATTAGAGGTTTTGGAAAGGAGGAAAAGAACTATAGGTATATATTCTCATTACAAATATTCTCATTGTACTACGAGTAAATATATATTATATAAGAAGTAAGCTCTTTTTTATTTCGATTTCTTACGTAAACCTAATCGAAGTAAAATACCTAAAAATAATATTTTACGAAATTGTTTATCGGCCCAGTAACTTATTGGAATAGCTATTTTTCTTTAGAGTTGGCAAATATTTGACAGCGCGTTCAGGAACCGGATGTCTTAAACAAAAGCTGTTTCCAGATCTCTCTTATTTAAAGCGTAGCATGGCATACCGTGTGATTTTAGTAAATTTTATTTTTAGACACTGCCGATAACAATTACCACTAGGATAATAAATACGTATAGAAAAATACTTTCCGGACACAAACGTTCTGATGTTGATTTCTGTATTTGTGGAACCTAACATAGTTAAGTGGCTGTTTGCTAGTAACACTATAAGGTTACAGCCGGAAAATCCAGAATAGATTTTGAGTCAAGATTAAAAATCTTGACTCAAAATCTATTCTGGATCTGGGATTCTTAACGTTTGGCTCTTTTTTTCACTGAATTAATAGTATCAATTATTGTGGATTTTATATACAGTATAAAAACAACAATAATATTCGAAATAAAATTAAGACTATTCAGTTCTTTTTTTTCAATTTGTTTGAGCTTTTGGGCTTAGTTAAATACATGTTAGTCAATGTGTTTTTTTTATATATTATGATCTAATAATAACAAAAGAACTTGAGAAATAAAAAAACTTGAGATTCAGGGTGTTTTGATAATAAGAGTTTGTCAACATTGTCACGTTAAAGTCAGTTGATCAATAAGAATCAGTGAATAGTCGATGAACTTAGAAGCTTAAAGTCCATGAGATCAAATTTCCATTAATCTTAATAAGTCTAAACTAACCTCTCAAATTCACAGCATTAGCAAGAGAGAACTCGGACACTGAATTCGTGGTGGGTGCCTGTTCGTAGTAAGGGTTTGGGGGTGAGCTGTCCACAGGTCCGAGTCCAAGCCCTTCCAATTGCTGTGACGTCACTGGTTCCTCGTAATCATGATCCCTGTCATAGTACTCTTCGCTTTGTTTCACCCGTCTTTCTTCGCCTTCTGGGTTGTACTCTGCAACGTAATCTGTTGACAAGAAAGTAAGACATTATTTCTTTTAATGATCAAAGCAATAATTCAGGCAAACGTACTTATTTATAGATCTAAAACACTCTTAGAACAGAGCAGTTAAGAGAAACAGCAAGAGCTTTATAGTTAGTAATCACTTACAAATAGATAAACTTTATTCAATTTTAATTTTGTGACTGTATCTATTCGACACGATCAGCCCAAACTTCTAGAAGTAAACTGAAGCAACTACTAATACTGAAAATACTTGGAGATTATTTAAATCGATAAGTGGTATTAATCAATCAAATTCGTCTATGGCAGTAATTTGATTAACGCTTTGAAAACACTTCATCAATAAATTAATAAATAATCAGATATCTAAGCTTTCCTTATGTGGAATACAACTTATCGTCTAAAACATTTAATATTTAATCTTATGATTGTCTATAATGTTTAAATATGGTTACTCTCTTTTATTTATAAACGCATTTTGAATAGTTTATAACCTAACCGTTTTTTTATCTTGTTTAACTAGTAAAGGATATAAATATTGCCTTAGGTAAAACCACATTTCATTTCACAAATCCCAAAAGCGAGTCTAAACGGGTATACATTGAATTAATAAAAAATGTAGTATGTTTAATTAATAAAGTAGTTGTATCATATACTCGTGTATTCAGACATAGCTGCTTTATCAATTGTTTCATATTTCTTTACATCTGCATGTAGTTAATTTTATCAGCGATAAATTAGTGTCTAGGTTTATAGGGAAAATTGTTCTTAAGGTGTCAATTTTTTGTTTTACCTATATACGAGAAGACTAGCATTCAGCTCAGCTTGTACCTAATTCCATTTCTACATGTTTTATCGTAATAAGTTCAACAACAAGCGCGTGACTAAAGTATCAAATATCTTTACTTTCTATTCATCTTTACTACTCTAAGGACGTACACCATTATTTAGATAATTATAGTGTTAACTATAATTTAGTCAACGAAATTTTCGACGACAAAAACGCAAATTCGGTCTACGAAAACTTTACAAAGTTTTTCTGGTAATAAAATGGAGAAGTTATCTTTCAACATTAAATCAATATGATTGAAATTTATATGATCCGTCTGAAATAAGTATATATTAGAATAGTTTATATTATGATTTCATAGAATACAGACATACAGTCAACTGGCCAGACGATCAAGGTCGCCCATTAAGGTCTGTAACTCAGGAGTCACAAATGCATTGCCGGCCTTTAGGAAGGAGTACGCTCTTTTCTTGAAGGTTTGAGGGTCGTATAGGTCCGGAAATACCATAGACGATAACCCGTTCCACAGTTTGGTTGTGCGCCTCAAAAGCGCACTGTAGTGGAGCGCCAACTAGCCAAGTCATGGGGATGAAAAAATTGCCGTATTGAACGATGGTAGAAAGTTACGGCCGGTATTAGTCCAAACAATTCCTCAGAGCACTCTTCATGATATATGCGATAGAGAATGCAGAGTGAAGCCATATCTCTACGTTACGCCAAGAAATCGAGCCGATCGGAGAAGGTTAGGCTATTGGATGCGGTCTAGAGAGAGAAGCTGGTACTGAGGTCCCCTGCATGGACATGAGAACAGTATTCCATATGCGGCCGGACTTGCACCTTTGAGAGCTGAAGGACTGCCTTCAGCTCTCAAAGGTGCAAGTACGAGTATTAGTAGTAGTATAAAGTTAGTTAGTAGTATAAAGGACCGAGGCTGTATGTCACTGTGAAATACAGCCTCGGTCTGTTCAGCACACCGAGCTTCTTCGAGGTCAATTTGACTTTACTCTCTAAGTGGCCCCGAAACTGGTTTTCGCTCAATATGTCGATGCCTAGGATTTCGATACTGGCTGAGGCAGTTAGGGAGGTGCTCTCAAACCATGGTGATACGACAAATGGTATCTTCTTTGCAGTGAACGCATAGACTTGTGTCTTTTTTGGGTAGAACTGGACTAGATTTAGTAGGCCAATCTGAAACCTCCGCTAAGGAAGTTTCAATTTCAGACACAAGTGTGTTTCGACTCTCGAAGACGTGATCCCGAGAAATATTGGGGCGGCCGGTGTAAAGGGTTTCTCCCGTACTATTATTTGCATAGCAATGGATGCTACTAGTTTGCAACATTTTATTTATATTTTATTTTATTTATTTGAGACTAAAAAAAACAGTTATACATTGCAGTCTTTACAAGTAATTTAGAACTTACATATCTAAAACGTAAAACCCACATTATTGTACACGAGTTTGCATAGCTGGAGTACATAGCTGGAGTAGAAAAGGTAATGGACGCGCACCATACACAATCGGTGAATTATATGTTATAATACAAGATAGATAGTTAATTAAAAAATGACAACATTGATCAGCAAGAACTTCAGTGACAATTTTTTTTTAATTTGTAGTCTATGAAATCGAAAATATCCAAGTTCGCAACATGTGAGTTGAACATGGTCAATAATCGGCGAAGAGATGCTCCCCAGCACTAGTACTACACTTTTAGGTGTAGAATAATCGAGGTACGCGCACAGTTCTGGGTACTACATAACTTAGCCTGCTTGATAATTCCGTACAATTATACTTGTTGTCGCATATGCAACAACAAGTATAATCATTAACATTAATAAAGTGCGTTTATGCTCCAAGCTTAAGAGCTTTAAATGTTTCAGAAGATCCACATAAGGAATCCTAGCATGGAAACATTTGTAATAGGTAGTACGAAGAATTTTTTTCTGTGCTATATCTATTCTTTGCTTACATTTCTTATAAAATTGACTCCAAATAGGTACAGCATACTCTGACTGAGAACGGACTAATGCTTTATATAAGAAAAGGTTAGTAGTGGGCTTTTTGAAGTCTTTACAAGGGCGCATGATGTAACTATACATCTGAAAGGCTTTACTAATGATGTTGTCGATTCTAAATTATATTTAGATATTCATATATCTAAATATAATTTACAATCTAGATGAACACCCAGATCTCGAGTGCATTCGTTTTTCCTTAGAATTGTGTCATTTAGAGTATATAGAAAGTTAATAGGAGTTTTATTCTTTGTAAAAGATATGAAGTGACATTTTGATAGACTAAGGTGTAGTTTATTAGCAACACAGTACTGTGACAGTCTGCAAAGATCTTCTTGTAGTAGTAGGTATGCAATCCTGAATGTTCATGCAGGTCTTATAGATCTTCATATCATCCGCGCACATGAGGAATTTAGAGTTAACTATACAGGTTCTAATACAGTTTATAAACAAAATAAAAAGCAACGGGCCTAGTATTAATCCCTGGGGCACACCAGAATCGACGACCGTGTAATCGGACTCATAACCATTGACAACGATCTTTTCAGTTCTAGGGAATATGTATGATGTGAACCATCTAAGTAAATTACCTCTGAATGCTGTTGAAGGCAATTTTGTGTAAAAGCAATTTGTGGTCCACCTTATCAAAAACTTTCTGAAAGTCAGTGTATACAGCATCAACCTGGATGCTTTATCCATGTTCTCTAATAAAAATTGGGTAAAGATCATTAAATTTGTAGGAGTAAATCGGGATTGAACAAATCCTTGTTGTTCGGGAATATTGAGATGACTCAGCTGAGGAAATAATTGACCGTGTACTAAACTTTCAAAAAGATTAGACAAGGCGGACAGTATGGATATGGGCCGATAGATTTCTATATTACTTTTATCTCCACTTTTATAGATTGGTGTGTTGAAAGCCCTTTTCCAAATGTATGTGTATGTACGGAATGTGGATGCATTGCACTGTGCGTTTAAAGAACATAGGTGGGAGACCATCCGGACCTGGCCCCTAAGTTAGATCTAATGACAACAGTGACTTTAATATGACATCAAGAAGGACAATGCAAGAAGATATCTCAGCCAGTTCTTCTGTTAATCTGAGCGTCAAAGGTAGATTGTTCATAAATCGAGTTAAGAAAGTTGGAAAATAATGAGCAGATTTCTTTGGTTTTTTTTTGACATATGTTATCAGGGAGACCACTGTCCTTCCTGAGTCTGCCATTAGAAGCCCAAGCCCATTAGAAGGGAGCTTCGAGAGAAGTACCTACCTGAGAAAACGAATGTCTTCCGCTTTCAAGATGTTGTTTCATTGTATCGTGTGTGCAAATGTGCTCATTAAATAAATATAAAGTACTTGAAATACTCTGCAATTAGTTATTTAATTATATCAAGAAACCTGCCTCCATGGGTAAGACGGAAAGAAGGAACGCTTCCCATCCCAATCCGCTGACCTACAGTGTAATACACGGCGGTAGCTTGTTACTCGCGTACTGCACTCCGGATTAGACAATGATCCTAGGAGCCAAGTGGGGCTTCAGCGGCGATTTTATAACCATTCGGATCGGAGGTCAGCAGGAGGTCCAACAGTGAAGGATCATGACTTTACACATCTGGGACTCGCGTGGGCGTTGATACTCAAAGCTACTATAGTACCAATCAAATTGCTTAAAAAAATAAAAGCATACTCTATAATTCATAAATGACAATAAATGTCATAAATGTCATTTCACAAATGTCCAGTCCAGTCTTCAGCTCTTACAAAGCTATAATTCCTCTGAGAACGTAAAAATCACTTTAACTATATTTATAAACACTATAACGATTTCGTAAAAGTAACAACAAATAAATGTTCGAGTTTCAAGATTAAATGGGATCATTGTGTACTCGTACCTTTATATAAAAAGAGGGGCGTCTTCTGTTAATTCGCCATTTTTAGAATAATTTATCTTTTATATGACATTTCATTTCTATTGAAAGACCTTTTCTGAAGATGCACTTGAAAATTCGATTAATTGCGTAGGCCATTTTAAATGTTAACATGGATTAGGTATTGAATATTAAAACCTCTTCTACTTACGATGGCCTTGGGAGAATATTGAAAGAGCAAAGTAGTCCAGAAAAAAAAAATTGTTTAGTGACAAAGTCCATGCAACACGTATAACTTAAACTGGCTTAGTCCGAACCTTCTAATAGA